AAAAAAAAAAAAAAAAAAAAGAAAAGAAAAGAATAAAATAACAAAAGAATAAAAGAAGGAAAGCTTCAGGAGCAGGCTGGCCTGCAGGGGTAAGTTTAATGAGTAAAGAGTTTCAGTTTTATAAAATGAAAAATTCTGGGGATCAGCTGCCTAACAATGTGAACACACTTAACACCACTGAACTGTACCATAACTGTTATGATGGTAAATTTTGTGTTTTAAATCACAATGTAAAAACTTTAAAAGTTACTTAAAAAAAAAAGGCCACTTACACACACATTAGAATAGCTCAAATCCAGAACACGGACAGCACCAAACGCTGGCAAGGATGTGGAGCATCAGGAACTCTAGTTCATTGCTGGTGGGAATACAAAATGGTACAGACATTCTGGAAACTGTTTGGCAATTTTTTTTGCGGGGGACAGAATCTCACTCTGTCACTCAGGCTAGGAATGCAGTGGCGCAATCTCAGCTCACTACAAACTCTCCCTCCTGGGTTCAAGCGATCCTCCCATCTCAGCCTCCCGAGTAGCTGGGACTGCAGGTGTGAGCCACCATGCCCGGCTCATTTTTGTAGTTTCGGTAGGGACAGAATTTCACCATGTTGGCCAGGCTGGTCTCAAAATCTTGACTTCAGTGATCCAGACAGTTTGGCAGTTTCTTACAAAACTAGACATACTCTTACCATACAATTCACCAGTTGTGCTCCCTGTACTTACCCAAAGGAGTTGAGACCTCATGTCCACACAAAAACCTGCACAGGGATGTTTACAGCAGCTTTATCCATAACTGCCAAACCTTGAAAGCAACCAAGATGTTCTTCAGCAGGTGAATGGATTAACTGTGGAACATCCAGACAGTGGATTTATTTATCACTAGAAAGAAACAAGCTATCAAGTCATGAAAAGACATGGTTGAACCTTAAATGCACATTACGTGAAAGCCGCCAATCTAAAAAGGCTACCTACTACATAATCTCAACTTTACGACATTTTGGAAAAGGCAAAACTTTGGATATAGTAAAAGGCTCAGTAGTTGTGAGGGACTCGAGGGAAGGAGAAGCACAGTGGAACACAGATCTCTGGGGCAGTGAAATTACTCTGGATGATAATGACTGGTCCACGTCTTTTTTTTTTTTTTTGACAGGATTTTCCTGTCATCCAGGCTGGAGCGTGGTGGCGTGATCACAGCTCATTGCAGCCTTGACCACCTAGGCTCAAGCGATCCTCCCATCTCAGCCTCCCAAGCAGCTGAGACTACAGGTGCATACTACCATGCCTGGTTAATTTTTGTATTTTTACGTAGGGTTGGGGTTTTGCCAATGTTGCCCAGGCTGTTCTCGAACTCAAGCGATTTGCCCACCTCAGCCTCCTCAGATGCTGGGATTGTAGGCATGAGCCACCACGCCCTGCCAGATCCAGGTCTTTATACATTTGTCAAAAGCCATAAAATGTGCACCACCAGGAGTGGCCCCTAGTATAAACGATGGACTTTGGGTGATAACAATATCAGTTGGAACAAACATGCCACTCTGGTTGGGATGTGGACAGAGGGGGAAGCTATGCGTATGTGGGGGAAGGGGTTATGTGGGAACTCTGTGTACCTTCAGCTTAATCCTGCTGTGATTATAAAGCTGCTTAAAAAAAACTGATTAAGACAAACACTGAAGGAACTAAAGGGCATTTGAGCAGTTGAGACTCAATGCAGAAGCCAGAAGCTGGAGATGGGAGGCATGTGCATAACCTTGCCACTCCCCAGGCATAGGTCATTTCTGAAGCCAATTAGACGCACAACAATCACAAGTGCTCCACTCAAATCAGCAAATCAAAAGGGGACAAAAGAATAAAAGGCAAAGCGATGAAGAAACATTTGCTGTCAGGAAAATATTTTCCTCAAGATACTATTTTTCAAGTTTGTGGTTTAGCCCTTGACACCTGAAATTTATCAATTTCATTTAAACTGTGTTAATGCCAAGTCAAGACCAGAATGAGAAAGCAACTAGCTGAAAAAAGTCATCATTTCTATGCAGGTCCTGCTCAGCCGCTCAAGCGTAGTCCCACGGCCGACACAGTGCGCCCACTCACACCTCCATCCTGGCAGAGTGAAATGAGAAATGGACTGCTTGATGTAGCCATTAAAACGAAATTATCTGCCATTTCTGCTGCCCCAAAATTGATGAACACAGAACTCATTTATAATCGCTTATTTCTACTTCACAACATTCCTTCCAGCATTTCTATTCTCTAAAATAAGGTCCATTAACATTGCATTATTTTTTTATAACCCTTAATGTTGATTGGAAATATGTCCTCACATCAACCTAAGTAAATCTGACTGTGTCCATATACTGTCCGAACTCCACCTGCCCAGATGAGCGGCAGAGGAGCCCAGAATTTTGTTTCCTGGCTCTGCTACAAGGGCCACCTCACAGTCCAGAAGCTGGGAATGGGACAGACCAGGTCTGATGATGGCCACCTCTGGAGAACCAGAGCTACCCTTTGGGGGCTAGAATGGGAGAAGGAAGAGACGCATTCACTTTAAATTAAACAAAAGAAGGAAACAAGGTTAAAATGAAGTTTATTATTTTTTTGATTTTTTGATTTTTTTTGTTTTTTGTTTTTTTAAATAAAACTGTTTGTGAAACAGCTATTTTATCCCCATGTCAGAGTGACCCCTGAAAGATGCACTAACCCCTTCTTAAGGCCATAACAAGATTTTTTTTGTACTTTTTTCTTTTTTTAAAACTCAGATATTTAAAAATTATACAATTTACAAAACAAAACAAAATAACACAACACAACATAAAGAATCACGTAGCATGGGGCTGCCTATCTGACAGGTCCTCTTTTCCTTTACAAAAATGAAAGCAAAAAGGGTTAAATGGGTGTTCCTGGTCAGTTTAACCCACACTGATCACAATGACAGTCCCTCCCCGTCCCTGCCTACAGCTCACATTGCCAGCTCGGGCGACACAGGCCTGGGCCTCCTCCCATCCCCAAGCATTCCTGTAGGTCAGGGCACAGCTGCCTGGAATGCGCTGAGGACAGGGGGCCCCAGAGGAGGGTCATCCTTTGACTTTGCTGCTGCTGTGTACACTTGATGGAGTCCTCAACCAGCCACAGTGACCCAGGACACAGCTATGACCTCGGGCATCTACCAATTTCACCCCCAAAAATAAAAAAATAAAAATAAAAAAATAAATAAATAGTGTTTCTGGAAATGAAAAAAAATTTATTTTTGTGTTTAAACATCATTCCCCTGCTCTTGAAAACATGTATTTCCCCCTCCCCCTAAAACCTTCCCACTTTGAGACAAATTAATGACAAAAGGATGGTTTTGGTGTGGTTTGTCTGCTTTTCCAATCCTGGGTCTAGTGTTCTCTGAACTGATGTGAGACAGGTAAAGATCAAAGCCACACACACCCCGTCCTTTATGAGATGAGGGTTTGTTCAGTTCAATTTCACATTTAAATTTCACTGTCATTGGAACAAATTTGGAGATCTTTAACTAGTTAATTTTAAAATAGAATCAAAAGGGATAGCGCACCTTTCATTTAAACAAAGTCTTTCCAGACTAAAAATAGATTTATATATATATATTTTTTATCCCTCCCTTTTAATTCCCCCCACCGTTTCCCCATCATCCCACCCCTCCCCCCTCCCCCCACATTGTCACTATGGAGATTGTGTCCATGGAAACAGCCATTCCAACATCTTGGGTCTTTCTTTCCTGTGGTGTCACCGGTTTGAGTGTGATGTGAGAACTTAGGAAGGAAGTGCTGGCATGGGCAGGCACGCGGGGCGGGGCGGGGCAGGGTGTGGCTGCACAGTAGGACGATTTCCATTCCATCACGAGTGTCCACCACCTTCTCATCTCCACAGTCTCACCTGGAAGACAAGGGACAGACACTGAGGGCCAGGAGCCTCCCCAGGGTCCACCACCAACAGCCTCTGTTCTGTGATACCCCTGGGATGGGGCTTTCAGCAGGGATCCTGCACTCAGACCCCTCTGTAGATGTGCTGCTGCTGTAGGACACACCGAAACCAATGCTGGAGCTGCTGTGTGGCTCTGGATCTGGAATGGGATTAAAGGCAGCAATGACCTAGTGGGGGTGCTGGGACTGGACTGTGAGGGTTCCTCAGCGCATGTCTGCCTAGTGCATAAAGGAGCCAGGACAGCAGAGAACTCCCTGACCTCAGGGGAGCTGGTGGGGCCTCACCAGCGTCAGGACCCCAGCACTGGCTGGCAAGTCTGGGTTCTCACAGAGGTGGCCTGAGGCACCCAGCTGTGACTGAAACCTAGAGTACCTGGTCAATCTGTAGAAGAATCTTCTCAAAAATTCCAGCCTCTTAGGACAGTTTCACAGTTGCCTCTAGTTGATAAAGCTAGTTGTCTGTTTCTTAAACAAAGTCTCACTCTGTTGCCTTAGCTCCATGTAGCCTTGAACTCCCAGGCTCAAGCAATCCTCCCATCTCAGCCTTCCAAGGTGCTGGGACTACAGGTACATGCCACCATGCTTGGCTAATGACAAAGTCAGTTTTTTTTTGTTTGTTTTGAGACAGAGTCTTGCTCTGTTGCCCAGATTGGAGTGCAGTGGTGTGATCTCGGCTCACTGCAGCCTCCACCTCCCAGGTTCAAGTGATTCTTCTGCCTCAGCCAACCGAGTATCTGGGATCACAGGTGCACACCACCACACCCAGCTAATTTTTCTGTTTTTAGTAGAGATGTGATTTCATCGTGTTGGCCACGCTGATCTTGATTTCCTGGCCTCAGGTGATCCGCCCACCTCAGCCTCCCAAAGTGCTGGGATTACAGGTGTAAGCCACTGCGCGCCTGGCCCATAGTCAGTTCTCGATGCTTATAAACAATGTTCTTCCCATGGCCTCTAACAGGGAGGACAGGTCTTGCTGTTTTCTGAGGCTCTGACAGAGCTGGACTATGTTAATCCTCTTGACCTCTCAGGAGCCTGAGGCCCCTAGGTCCCTCAACCCCAGGCTGGGGGGCTTCTCTCCTCTTCCAGCCCAGGTGCAGAAGGGGATTCTGATAGCCCACAAAGGACAGATGGTTGTACCAAAGGTCTCTGTAGAATGCTTCATGGCCATCCCATGTGAAAAGGTCTCAGAGAAACAGTAGTTTCCAAGGAATCCATCAAGAAAAATTTCACCAGAAGCCAGAAGTGGTGGCAGCCTCGCTCCTCCTTCACTTGCTTCCTGCCAATCACTGTGCTCTTAAGCCTCTCACTGGGGCTCACCTAACTGCTTCCTCAAGCCCAATTTGGTGCCCTTCACTGACAAATAAACCCCAGGAACCCACGTGTCACCAGCCCTTTCTGCTTCCATAAAGTTCACACATCCAGAACTGTTAAGAAGGCTGGAGCCTGGGGAAGCTAAGACTGAGCTGTCCGCAACACATACACACACGTGCCCTTGCCCAAGGAGGTTCCTGACTACTTGGCAGAAAACACCAATGAGCAGGAATACACTCCACAGAGACCATGGCACATCACCATACACAGGTAAAGGCAGACCCTGGGAATGCAGGCCAGCAGCTGAGCTAATGGGCAGCTACCTCCAGGAACAAAGGGCATCATCTTGCTGGGGTTGCAGGATGCCTGTGTAAATCAAGGTCAACGCCCACACATACCCTGCCAGGCTCCGCTCATAGAGGGGACTGGGCAGGGTTTGCCCTCCTTACCAGTATATAGCAGTCTTGGGCCTGCACCCCAAGCTTGTTCATTACTCAGAAGAACAGGACCCCACACCGCCCCCCAACCCCCACCAAAGAATGATGCACACATCAGCACGCAGGGTCTGCCTGGCCACTTGGCTCCATGTGCTACTACCTGCGGGCGCCTCCCTGGGGTGTGTGGTGGTCCAGGCATCAGCAGTTCTTCAGCACCTGTTGTCTGCGGCTCTGCCCTCCACAGCCTTCCCAAAGGGGAGTGTTCCCCAGGTCTGATGACTAGATCAGCCCTAACACATGATATCCTGAATGTACTGGGACCCTAACTTTTCAAGAATTACTTTAACAAAATTGTTCCTTCAGCAGGGAAACTAAGAAGGAAGGAAAATAAGCACTCCCTATGTGCCAAGCCCTGGGCTAGAAGCTTTACAGATACTATTTCATAGTAACACGGACCTGCCTGACCCCCAACTTCAGGAGAGCTC